CCTAGATAATTATATTATCTCTTATGAAATTATAATAATTTTCAAATAAAGCTTCAGTAGAACTTACCGTAATTGCACAAAGTCCACAAGGTCGATTGAATAAATATTCAATTAGATTGGTTGATGTATTTGATAATTTATCATCAAATATGCCAATACAACTTAAGTGTTCATCGACAGGTCATCGTAGTGACATTATAAGTATGAAAAAAAACTTCTGTAGAAGATACATTTGTATCGTTTGCGAAAGGTGGAGAAACAATTTTATGGAAGATTGTTGTGCCAAATGTCGATCAAGTATGTTATTATAGATTTCGTATACTTGAGTAGATGACTGATTGATTTTTATGCTATTTTGTAGTCTGACAAACGAATTGGCCCAAGTATTACTGAAAATTTTCCTATTAAAATGGATTTTCGAATCAAGCTTGTTTGTGTTATCCCACATGGTATAATATATAAATTTTTTGCCGAACTTTTACACTTTGTTTATATACTATATAATATTTTAATGCGGAATTTAAAAATTCCTTTATTAGAGAATTTTGTGGTTTATGACGGAACTCGAATCGTTGTGTTTTCCCATGCAAAAAATGGCCACTTTGTTCAAATAGCAATTCTTGAAGACTATGATCCATCCTTTGAGCTAATTTTGTTATTTAATTTTCAACACTTGACATTATCTTCGACAATTTATCTTGCTGGAGTTAGTTGCCAAGAGAATACTGTTTTCTTGTGGAAACTTACATATAACGATTCAGGTTTTATTACTTTCTCATAAGATTGATCTATGTCTTATAAATAGTAATCTTAATTTTTTATTCCTTCAGCCACAACATTTCAACAGATAGTGTTTATTTCTAAGATGCCACTTCAATTAAGTTTCAAAATTGCAATAGCAGTGCCAATTGAACAATGGGCAGGATCAAATGTAAGAAGCTACGTGACTCAAGATCGATACCGCCCAGTTTTGGCAACTTTTAGTTCCGAAGATGGATACATTAGGTATTGGCAATGTAATTTGGATAAGAATACTGGTCTGCAATCTCAGATGGCAGGAAAGATTTGGGCAGAGGAAGTAAAGTTTTTTGTTAGAGGAGAACCGAAAGTTATTAAATGTGGACCACAAGGGAAGATTGCTGTTGGTATGTGGTTTTAGAATACCGCCTGCGAGCGGGTAACATTATATGATATGATTAAGTCTTTTTCTTTGTATATTAGTATTGCAAAATTCCAACGGGTATGAATTGATTATATGGGGATGTGTCACAAGGAAATTGTCGCCTACTAAAGATTTTATTGCGGAATTTAGGCATGTTAAATCTGTATTATCATTTTATTATTATTTATTGTTATTTTATTAGTATTATTATTATGACAGTCCTTTTCTATTTTTATATAATTAGTGAGAAGATTATTGATGTAGATTGGTTATTTACGTCAAATGCTGAGCTTATATTAGCGATTGCGACATCGCAAAAAATAATGTTTTATACTCGAGTACGGAAACATCATGTTTCTGTCAGAACTAGCTGGATTCTGTTTTTAGAGATCAATATACAGAGGTTTGTCTCAGGAGGCATTCAGTAAATTGTTTATTGGTGAATTATACTTATTTTTTTTTATAATTATATAGTAACTTACCGTTGCCAATTTCTGCAATATTATGGGGTAGTGGAGGTTCGCTTATTGTCGCTAATGGAAAGTATACGTTTTTCCACAGAAATATTCTACATCTGACGTAGGAAGTGCTTGAGCCAAACGTAGCAATACGAGAACTTTCGGAATCCGTCGTGGCCTACAATAAACATTCTATTATCATAAATATAAATAAATACCAAAATCTAATGTTAATAATATGTACGGTTATAGACATGATTGTTCGCAAGTGATGACTTTTGGAAAATCGTTTAACCATAGAGCGCTACATTAAGTAAACTCCGGTATATTTCAATGATGTCACTTGAAAATCCACACTTATATCTAGGCTTACATAATTATCATGTCCAATAGAATGACCTTTGTCTCCACGTAAAAATAATGTTAATTTGGGATGTTTTTGATCTATATTCCGAATACTGAATGTAACGCCCTACAGCAGTGACAACTTGGAACAGAGTTTGACACTGAAATAACGCAATATTTTTTATCATGAACTACTTTCACTGATTAATTAAAGTTGTTCAGAATTGACTTTGCATATATGTGTACATTTTTATGATAAATGTATAAGCCAGATGAAAGTCAAACTGTCCGGTAGACAGTCCAAAATGTACAATACTGCTCTGTGGTATATCATATACCGAATAAAGAATCTTTGCGTAAAATAATAAAGGAGAATATACATCAAAATAGACTTACGCGTATTCCCCAAATAACCATCGATCCATCTCTTTGAACCTGATATAACAAATCAGGAGTATCATTCGCCAAATTCCTCAATTTCCTTAATCCATTCCCACAAATAGAATCATCTATATTTCCATCAAACGTTTCAATACTTGATCTAAGTGCGTTTAAAAATTCTTTTGAATCGATCCAATGTATTGATGTAAAAATGTTAGGATCTTCATTGTATGTTTCTTCTTCCAATGATTGGAGTGTTACTAGTGATTGTGATGGATCAACCACTGTTGAGATATAAAAGTACTGTGGCTCATCAGGATTTGTTGATGCCCAGATTCGACAGATTCCATCTTTACACATTGTTATAAGAATATTAGAACCTGCGGCACTACATAATTAAAAATATTTATAAATAATTCTAATGAGATGAGCTATAAGTTCGACGAAGTTGATATTACTTTTTTTGTTCAGATGAACCTTTTCGCCATGCAAAATTTGTCACGGCTCTTGGATGTGGTAAGTAATTAAATTCATATTCTCGATTTTTCATCTCACTATTATGAGGATCCCACCAAATTTTCACCAACCTATCGTTCTTATTATTGAACAATTTAATTAATTGCTAATAAAATCATTCTGAAGGACTATGTAAATATATAGCGCCTTACATCGCTCATAGAAGCAAATAATGTAGAATCAGGTGAAAATTGTGCAAGTACTGTTTTTGAGGAGACCCTGCAATGTAAATATAAGTATAGATTAGCGCCATGTTCTGATATGCGTATCAATTCGTACGCTTCAACAAAATATGAACCTTTGTTCCCATAATTTTGACCATTTTACGGGAGTCTCTTGATTATGTGATATAGCTTGTTCCCAAATAGTGAGTGTTTCACCGCCGACCAATAGTTGATCTTTATAGAATTAAGTAGAAAGTATCAACTGCGAAAAGTGTGATACTTATCTTTTGGAATTTCCATATTAGATTTCAAAATTTTTAACTCTCAACACTCACCATCACTCCAAGAGGTACAAAATGCCGGATAATCATGATTCAGTATTTTCATTAAATTCCAATGTACGTCCTGAATTATACAATATTGTTACCTAAGTGCATATTAAACGGAAAAAATCAATATTATGCTAGACCAATTTAATTCGGTGGTTTACATAACCCTCTTTTATTTCCCTCCCCCTCTTAGTAAATAAATGGATATATAGTTAGAGATAATGCCGGGCGAAGTTATCCGAAAAACTCAAAGAGAAAATAAATGAACATAAATAAAGTACGAGCAAGGTCGAGATAAAAATTTTTTAAAATTTTAATATATACATTCGTCCTTTTCCCCCTTCCCTTTTGAGAGATGTAATGAAAACCACCAAATAAAATTGATCTTTGTATTTCTAAAAATAAATATTACTTTATTGGCTTGTTGCGGATATAATACAAGTGCATCTGTGCCAACAGTCAGTGCAATCTATTTAGGATAAAATAAATATTGAAAATAAATGCGTTATAGTGTATTATTACGTATTTCTTAATATGGTCTATAACAAACCTTGCCATCAAATTCTGAAATCTCAACTGAGACTATGTCAACCTCTAGTTCTGGCTCCTGCTTGGTGTCTCTCAATAATTTTGAAATTTCGGTCGTTTGGATGTGTTCTAGACAACCATTATATATCACTAAGTTACCTCCGGTTCCATATGCCTTGTTTAAAAAATGGATCAACGTAACGTAGTTTGGTAGAAAAATGTCAGAACATAAATGTGAATTTAAATCATAGTTACAAGATAGCGAACACCTTCCCAGCAGGCAGAATGAAAGCTTTGGACGTAACCATTAGTTTTGCCAGAACAGGTTTGTTGAAGTGACATATTTCAGCATATATTTTCAAATTTAACACGAGTTTTATATAGTATATATACGAATTTTTTGATGGCGAGATTCTACTCGAACTATCACGTTCTGATTGGACGAAGCAATAGGTGAATCTGCATTTACTAATTTCCCCCCAGAGTTTCTATTGGCCATCGGTAAATCGCTTTTTTTATTGGATGAAATCGTTGATCATTAATAACGTGATATTACTGATCATCTACAGCCAATCACATTTGCATATTGCAAATAAAAAAAAATTATTTTTTTAGATGCGATTTTATTGCTCTTCGCTAAGTCTTATTTAAATACTTGAAAGGTTATCACATATAATTCTGATTGGCTAAAAGATTTAAACAAAATTAGATATACGGATCAATTACATAATAACTATATATATAGTTTGTATGTAAGCATTACTACATTATTTTTCAAAACCTTGTTATAATATTTTATTAATATTAAAAAAATTTTGAGCTATAAACAATTTTTGTTAGTTTGAGTATGTTTTATGTTTCTTTTAATTCTTTTGCAACAATAGTTTTTTTGTAGAATT